AGCAAAGGCTTGACGATGAGACTTACTCAGAGGCTTTAGCCTCGAATTAGTCACCCAGACGCAGGGGAGGACGAATAACGCCTCGAGTAGCACAGATGGGGTGGCAGGGGTTAAGTGAAATACGTGAACCAGGGATATAGCAGACTGCTCTTATGAGGCAATTTGCTTCTAACAGTGTATATAGCTTTAATAATGTTGTGAAAACAGCCTTATATTTTATAATTATTCGTTGAATCAAGATAATATAATTAATATATAATGATAGTAGTACTGCAACTAAAAACATAGATAAAATTTGGTTTATCTTTTCAAATTTTATAAGTACTTGATGTAAACAAATTTTTAGTTTATGGTTAGTTTGCATAGATAATAATGATTATTAGATTCTGTATTTTTTCACATTACATCACAAACAAGCCGGTTTTCTTCGTTTCTAAGTTTATTTTAAGACTACCAGCAAACAGACATTTGTGATTTATCCACCCTATTTATTTTAAGGTAATAAAGGATTGTTATTTGAATTTTCCCACTGATTTAGGTAGGCCTTACGTTCCCAATGCATTTCGCATAGCCTTGCTTTCCCAAAATATATTCTTATCCAAGATGGACTGCAATTTCGACCTCGTATAGGTATTAGCAACACCCCTAGCGGGACTCGAACCATGACAGTGCAGTCTATAACCTCGACACATTAACCACGACGCCACATTGTCCTTAGGTCACAGAAAGGTTAGAATTTCAAGAAGGCCAGGCATTTTTCCCATATATTATCTAGCTGGATTGTCGATGAAGTAAAGTTGTGTTTGCCATTGAATTCGACTACATTACTTATTTTTCGTTTATAGATGGGTTTTGGGGATTACTAGTAAATTATATATACGTATTTGGTATATTTTCTCTATTTTGTTTAAAGCGATAAGGGGATTAGTAGTTTAATTTTCCATTCGCTTTGAATGTACTGATTAAACTAGTCTATTCTTTTACACCCCTACGTTTTCAATTTACTAGTTATTTCGGAATAGCTGTAACAAATCAGTGCATATAGTTAGCATATACGCAGCACATTAACTTTCATCTACGACCATTTGTACAATGGCTATAAGCCTATTCATTTATTGATTATGCCATGAGTTCTATTTTGTAAGTATCACTCTTGATAACACTTCGCACTTGTCGAGGGTTTCTCTTGGTAATGCTCAGCTAGGGTTTTTTAAAACTATCAAAACTGTTGTGGTTCAACCTCACTGCTTGTTTTACCCATTTTAACGCTGCTAAACGACATCGAGTATATCTCATGGCTCTTCTTTGCTCATATCGACTTTCACCTGTTTTTTAATCTGGACGCAAAATTGTGTTTAATCTATGATGGGTTTGGTTGCATATATATTGATTTCACTTGTGGAATTTAAAAAGTGCATCATTGGGGCCATGAAAAGTGTCTAGAAAAATAGGATAAATATATATGAAAGCTGTTTTTCGGAGAATCCATTAACCGATTGATATTGGAATACCTTTCATTTCGTTTGAAGAGGCGAGTGGAAGGGATTCGTATGTTGGCCTCACCTGAAGCTGTATGGGGATTGTTTTAGAGCTGTGACTAGATTTGTGCGAATAGATCCTTGGTGCACCATCATGTGACATTAATGAATTCTTGCTGAGCTTTCGCTCGTCATGTGACGGATATCCTCAGAGCAGGACACCATGCTTAACGATAATTCACCAAAACACGAAGACAAGAAACGTACTCTTTATAGTCTAACCTGGTCCGTTTAATGAGGCATCTCATGCTTTCGTTAGATGTCCCATGCTTTGCCTAAATGTTCATTGCCAAGCTAGGCTAAATGGCTGTGGATGACATGTGAAGTGGGTGCAGAGAAAGTGTGAAATTGATGCAATAGTGACCGAATAGCTGCATTCTCCACTAAAACAACAGTATTTTTGATCCTGTTGTCATGCCGTGTGTTATTTCTTTCTATTATACTCGTGCTTTGTGAATGCATTGATCTTGAAATTAGTGTTATGTAAGAGTCTAAACCAAATTTGAGCCTAATCAAGCTCAATTTGGATAAGGATTGTGCGTTAAAGAAAAAAGGGACGATAATTTCACTCACTTTTTTTCACCCCCTAGATATTACATGTGCTCAGAGCCCTTTGCAACTTCTACCTGGTTGCTATGAGCTCCGCTTAGGAGTTGACTCCGTCGAGACGCAGCCTATCTCCTCTCGAGCTGCTGCCAATCTACTGGGCTCAAATTCTGGAATTACTGAGATTCAGGGTGCTCCTGTATCCACGTGCCTTTTCGAGTCAAGTAGTGTCGATGGCCTTGGCAGATCCAGTGTTACGGATGCTGGGGCTCCCTCGGGTCGGATAGAATGGATCCAGGCTTCTGATTCTGAGGATCCACTCTCCGATACCGGATCCTCTAAGTATCAACATAATTCCAGTAGTCGCATGCATAATGGTAATAGTTCATGCAGTGGTTTCCGTTTTCCTGCTTCATCCAGCGCCCTTGACGAATACGCTAAGTGGCCAAGACTGCGATTTCGAGTCATCTGGCATGAGATGGAATCCGACTCATTACCGTCCACAACATCTAATGACACAACATCGTCAGAGCTTCCTGGCCGTTCGTCGATTGACGACAAGGATCATTTCGTTGATGACCAAGGTAATGCGCTGACGAGATCTATGGAGCCGCGGACCCCGATTATTAATGAATTACTTGCACCCGCTGGAAGTCATCGTGTCTCTCCGAGGCGAGGTACTTTGAGCCTTTATTATTGATAGACCATGAGTCTCATTGCAGCTACGCCAATGACAATATTTAAACTCTACTAATCTATATTCATTTTCGTTGGGGTAATTTGTGCTTAAATTTGATTAATTGTATTCAATTAAAAGCATTTGCCCAAGTAGAAATTGATTACATATAAATCACATTAATACAAGTAATTGTTAATAAAATAATATTTCTTCAAAGCTCTCACATCATTTCAGGCTCACGCAGACATTATCTTTTGTTTTCTTACTAGGAAACGTGCCGTTTTTTGTATAACATTAATACGATGTTGATAATACCGCTAAAGGTAAATTCAAGATGTTCGTTTTTTTCTCTACATTCTAGAAGTAGCTTCTCATCCAAAGTACGCTCTTCTTAGATCTCATAAAAGATAACAATATTTTGACTGGTTCATGAGTAAACACCTTAATCTCTAGTATGTCTGGCTCAAAGGTACTGTGAGCTAACTGTGGATGTTATCTATGGAAGAGACTGTTGCATAGAAGATTAAATGTGTCTAATATTTTAATAGGATCTATCTTCTATTCCATTTTAAAAGGGCAGATTGTGTTTTGTTTAACTGATCATATATACTTTAAAGTATGTAAACTTTTATCATTCCTTTTGTTTTTCATATTCTTTTAGTGTATATTTTAAGATGCCCTTTATGCAATGAATAAAGGTGGATGATGACTAATGCAGGACCAATTCTTCCAATAGTTGACTTATTATTTATTTTCAAGCAGGCTGATATATGTTACAGATAATAGTTTTGATTTACGAAAAGACGTGGGGTGTCTAAAATATAATACGCCTGCACTCTACAACTTGATATAAAGTTGGATGCCTCGGGACGAAGAGAAAAGGAAAAAAACATATTACAAAGTGACTAAACTAGAGACAGTTGAACTTCTGTATGCGAGTGAGAATAGAAATTCATTTATGCAAAGCGGCTCGTAATATAAGAGTCTTAAATCCGCGGTCACAGCTGAGTTGAGAAATAGAAAGCAGAAAACATGACCAGCT